GGAGGACAGCTGCTGACACCAGAATGAACAGTGAAAAAAAGAGTGAGGGAAACTTTGGACCCATTCTGCCTGCAGACTCATAGCTGAGTGGATGATTCTTCTGCTCAGGGATGAATAAGCAGGATAAAGAACAGGGCAGCTGCCACAACATAAGGAAGAGGGGAAAATAACCCTTAAGACTAAGAAGATTATTTTTGAGAAGAAACTGGTTAAGCCTTTTAGACAACATATGCTTAGGGTATTCAGAAATAATGAAGAAATAGTCCTTAGTAACAGAAACAAGACTGTCTTGAAAGAGAGCATACAAAGAGTTGGCAGAAATAAAGCTTTTTACCCAAAATGTGTTGCTGTGGAGTTGTACTGACATAGCAGACCCTCCAGCCGGCTCTCCTAGACTCTAAATTGCACACGAAATAATTGCCATCTTTCTCCAACAGACCTGCTGGTGGATTCTAACCACCCAAAGGAATCCTCATTGGGCGAGCAGTGCAGCTCGGTACCAGGCTGCCAGTCTGTTGTGAGTGCTGAAGCAAGGTTGAACTGAGAATGTCTGAAGCTTTAATCCAGTCTCTTGATTCACCTTCCTCTGCAGAGCCTTTTTGCCATTGCAAATTTTCCAAGTGAAATTCATTATACAGGACAGAGAGAATGTGAACATGTAAGGTTAATGGAGTTGTGGTTTTAAAAAATAGTCTGAGATTCACGTTGGTGTGTAATCTCTGTGCTCAAAGAAATTTGAAAATTGTCTCAAGAAGAATAGTGATAGTGTGGTTGCCCAAAGTACAGATTGAAAAAACTATCAAGGAAGTGATGATACAAGGTTACTGTTTAAAAATATATTTTTGTGAAAATACCCAGAACTATTGGAAGGAAGAAAATAAAGACAATTGATAAAAGGAAAAAAAATTAACTAATTAAAGGATTTTGCTGTATGCATGTGCTAAGCCATCATGTGAGCTCTTGCCCTCAATTTTGCGTCAAGAATGTTAACAGAATCCTTTGTACTTGCCCAATGTGACTCACGGAGATTGTAAGGATGGCCTGCAAGCCAGCAGTGCTCCATTCTACTGGACATCAGGCTGCTGTAAGTTGGAATGAATTCTGTGACACCTAACAGTAGTGTAGCTTGAGGCTGATGGTTGTCTCCAGTACTTTTTTCCATTCTTTTCATCGTAATGGAATCTCTGGGTTTTAGCCAGGTATGTGACTATCTAGAAAATGCACTGCATTCCCTCGCTTTTCTTCTAGCTTGCCAATGGAAACCTCGTGTATATCTTATGGAAAGTGTCCTTCAAGGAAGGGTTCATGCCATTCTTCTGTCCTCTTCCTGCTGTCTGGAATGTGAACATTATGACTAAAAGTCAAATACTTTCCTGGGGCCACAAGGAAGACACCAAGTACTGATAGAAAACAAGTACAATTAATACCAAACAGGGAGCCTGGTTATGGCACCGCAGAGCACTCTGGCAGCCTCAGCCTGCCCACCTCTGCAATTCTATGTGCAAAACAGATGTTGTTTAACTCCCAGAGACAGGGGTTCTGTTACGTGTAGCCTGATCTAATCTTAGTGACACACAGAGGTAACATGGTTTCAGGAGCTTTCCGCATGCTTGCACTGCCTTTTAGAACTCCACATTACAGCATCTTCCCCTGTCTTGTCTTCTGACATTCTAGAAGTCTACCTTCCTAAAGGCTTGGGGTATATTTTTACTATGCCAACCCATTTCTTTTCATGGTTTTTATGAATTCTAAAACAACTATTTTTTAATCTAGTTTCTATCATTTCTATTTCCTAGCTAGGTTTTCCTTTTTTGTTCAGTGCTAGCAAGTCACCATGACTCATAGCGAACTACACGTCTCCTTTTGTATATAATCTTAGAGCTCCTGTGAAAGAATCAGCCTGTCTCCGGGATGGTCTTTTCCACACCTTCCTTAGCCCAGTGTCCATCACTCTGGTATATACAGTGATTGATCACATCATCTGCTTACTTGCCTATATGCTGTTACAGTGCCCAGATCCTCATTTTTCTTTTAAACATATAAAAAGTGATTGACTATAACTGGCTTAAAGGTGCTTATATTTGTTGGAAACACAAAAACAAGACCAAATACAATACACAGAGTAACCATGGAAATTCCCTTTGTGAACTCTGTTTTCATATTCTCTGTTTAAGATTAGTGCTGGGATGAATTTTCATCAAGTTCTGAGAACTGAGCTGTGTGAATACCTCCCATCCTTGTGACTTTCTAGCCAAAGCAGCCTCTGCCATGACTCTTTCTCGAGGAAGTTGGGCTTTTTTGTCTGTAGACCAGGGAAACATTCTTCTGTCAGGGATTGTCACCTGGCCAGCAGTTTGTGTGTTGATTCGTTGAGAAGGAAGGGCTTCTCTAATAGAGCCACACAGTGCCCTTTATCCTGGCTCCCTCAGGAGAGGATAAAAAGATGAGAGCTAAAGGAGTATGGGGTGGATACAAAGAGAAGTGGGGGTGGCAGGTGGGGAAGGACCATTCCTCCGGGGCCCATGAGAGAGCTGCTTTTCCATCCCAAAGCCATCTTTCTGCCCCAGATATAGTCTACATCAGTAGACTCAGGGCTTAGAGTGGGTTTAGAGCCAAGAAAATCAAGTCTCTAAAGTAGGGATGAACAAAGGGGAACCTGTTCATGTATGTACTTTGTGTTGCTGCTTTTATGCTACATTGGTAGAGTTAAGTAGTTGCAAGAATCTGCGTGGCCAGCAAAGCCTAAAATACATACCAAATAACCCTTTATGTTTTATTGATTCTGCAAAAGCATTTGACCATGTGTATCATGACAAACTATGGCTAATCTTGAAAAGCCTGGGAATTGCAGAATAATTATGCTTATAGAAATCTATACCTAGACCAAGAAGCTGTTGTCTGAACAGAGCAAAGAACGCTGCATAGTTTAAAATCGGCAAAAGTGTGTGTCAGGGCTATACCTTTTCTCCATTCCTATTCAATCTGTATGAAGAGCAAATCATTCGAGAAGCTGGACTTTTTGAAGAAGAGTGTGGCATCAGGATTGGAGGAAGGCTCATTATTAACCTGCATTATTCAGATGACACAATCTTGCTTGCTGAAAGTGAAGAGGAGCCGAAGCACCTATTGCAGAAGATCCAGGCTTGCAGCCTTCAAAATGGATTACTTCTCAGTGTCAAGAAAATAAAAATCTTCACCACTGGACAAATAGGCAACATGATAAATGGAGAAAAGATTGAAATTGTCAGTGATTTCATCTTGCTTGGATCCACAGTCAACACCTTTGGTACTAGCAGTCAGGAGATCAGCAGATATATTTAACTTTGGGGGTATCTCTCCAAAGTCCTGAAGATCAGTGATGTCAGTTTAAAGACAAAGGTGCACGTGATAAGACAAAGGTACACCTGATTCAAGCCACAGTCTTTCCAGTCACCTGCTATGCATCTGAAAGCTGGGCAATGAATAAGTATGGCAGGAGAGGAATTAATGCATTTGAGTTGTGGTGTTGGAGAATATGCTCTGGACTTAAAAAGAACAAACATATGTCTTAGAGAAAGTGCAATCACAATGTTGCTTGGAGGCTAAGATGATAAAGCTTCATCTCACATATTTTGGACATGTTGTTAAGAGAAACTATTCCTTGGAAAAGTACATCATGCTTGGAAAGATGGAGGGTCAGGGAAGGAGAGGAAGACCCTCAACGAGATGGATTGATACACTGTCTGGAGCAGTGGATTCAAATGTGTTTGGGATGATAAGGATGGTACAAGATAGGGCAGAGTTAGGTCTGTTGTTCATAGGGTTGTTTGAGTGGTACTTGGCTCAGTGCCCCTTAACAGCAACAACATAGTCCTTTATAGAAGATGCCTCTCATGACCAAGACACCCATTGTTTATGATGAATTAACTTCTCTGTTACGTATCAAAAGTGATTTGAAGTTATGTACCATTCTTGGGAGAATTGGTAACTAGACCCTCAAATAGTTTTCTGTGTTCTGTGATTCAAAAGTGATTCTGTTTCTTTAACTGTCAGAGCTAAAGTAATGCAAGAGGTCTTGGCTCACATCTGCTGCATCCTGAATAAACCAGTAAGACATCACACTCCTGGTTTGGCTAAGGCAGGATACATACAGTCCTTGCTATTCCCCTACTTCTAAAGTTACCATCCAGCATGAATCTTTTCCTCCCCAAATCCAAGACCGAGGTCCCTTCTTTCTCCTGTGACTTGATTCTTCTCTTCCGGAGAGTTCTGCTGTCTTCTCACAGTGTAGGATGAATTGAAGCCCTTATGTATCTCCAGTGAAGCAGTGTCTTTTCCTCCTTCTCGTTCTTTGCCACATTTATTTGCGCCCTCTTTGTCTTGGCTGAATGTTCTTTCTCCCTGGCCTCTTGGGAAGTAGCTTCTCTGTGTGTGGGAGCCTTGGACCCACCCCAATTCTTAACCTTTCTCTCAGATATTAACAACAACATTCTTACTGATAAGAATGTCTTGCATTCTTAGTTTGGGATATTTGTTGTAATTGCTTTAACCTGAGAACTCTTCCTTCTTTGTGCTTAGAAGACAGTACAGGGAGAAATGATCATTGGGGTTCTTCACCCCTACTATAAATGTAGCTATCATGTGATATAATATTTATACTCTAGTGTTTTCCTTTGGTAAGAAAGGACTTAAGGACTTACTCCCTTTTATGTAGACACAGGTAAGGAAAATTCTCTACCTGAGACAGTGAAAACACGTATAAGTAGAAGTCACATCATCTGAGGTCGCTGAAATATTTGAACTCCATCATTGTTGTGTTACTACAGTCTACTGATTAGCAGTTTGTCTCCAAAAGAAAGATTAACTAGCCAAGAAGGTGAATCCCGAATATAAAGGATATTTTGCTCTGCCTTAGACTTTCCTCCCAATTCTCCTATTAGCATTAATATGTTTATTTCTTTAAGAATTGTTTTAATTTATTTTCTTTTAAAGTCTTTGTTTTGTTGGTTTTGTTTTTTAAGGTCTATCAGATCGTCAAAACTCTCAGAAAACACAGTTTTTGTTGCTGTTGTACGCAGGTATGTTTTCATTTTTTCCAGTGTTGAATTCAAGTATCAGTATATTGTTTGCTCTCTTTGATAACTGAATAATTTAGATGCTGTGACCAGTGTGGTTCTTTTTAGTTTGACCTTTTAAAACATTCATTGTTATTTTATTTTGCATCTCCAGTTAATTTCCTATAAGAAATTTCTGTGCTCTTTCACTGCTTTTTACTTTAGAAATAGGCAAGCCATCAGAGAATTCCATCCTTAAAAGTGTGAATGTTTTCCAGGAATATCTTCTGAGAGCTATCTGACTCCATATTTCTAGGAGGATTTGAATTATCTAGAAATGGAGGGAAGAGTCTTACATTTCATCCTTAAATTAGAGTTGAAAAAAATAATAAAAATATATGGAGGGCAATATTCCAACAAATGTTATTTATATATTTTTATAGATAAAAGAAATATTTCTGTGTTCTTCAAACTTTTCTCCTGAGCTATTGGACGAGGGAGGTACTTTTTATTTTTTTATGCCATTCTTGTGTATTTATTTAAACCCAAAGTAAGGTCAAGTGATTACAGCTAAGCCATGCATTCTGAAACTATACAGTCACCTCCACCCTTCCACTGGCCTGTGTTATATTTTTAATAGGTGTAAGAGTGGGTGTGTTTGGGAGGTACTTTTTTAAAAAAGAAACTGAAAGTAGAAGTAAATAGAAAATAATTCAGCTTAAACTGAATTTTTTACATATTAACTAGATATATGCATATATTATATTCTGTAATATCTATATTTCAGATATATATTGTTGTTGTTATGTGCCATCGAGTCGCTTACAACTCATAGCGACCCTATGTACAACAGCCCTAAACCCTGCTCTATATACTGTGCCAATCGCACTGCCTCTGACACACCCATCCCAATTAGGCCAGTCACTGAATCAATCCACCTCATAGAGGATCTTCCCCTCCTG